GTTCATAGTATATCTTTATACTCTTGTCAGTTAGACTCGGTGCTATGTTCTGAATATTTCTGACTTGCATTTTTAATGGAGATAAAATGAAGCATTTAATACATGACGTAGATGAAGACATGAATGAAACTACAGACAAACTTAACTCTTCTCTCATTCTTCCTTTCAGTAAGACTATGAGTTCTGTTCAAATGGTGTTATTTCTATTGTGGAAAGATGGGTTCAGGTAAGACATTTAACCTCATTCGTCATATACTCATAACAGAGCGTTTAGGAAACGACTCTTACTATGACCAAATCATTATATCAGCAACTTCAGACTCTATGGACTCAACAGCGAAAACATTTATGTCAAAAGTTCAAGCCTCTGTCGTTAAAGTTCCAGACAGTGAACTCATTGAATTTCTTCAACGTTACATTCGACGTAAGAGGAAATATTATGCCATCGTTGAATTTATACAGTCAGGAATGCAAAAGACTTTCAGGAGATGGAAAGAATTATTGACAAACACCACTTACGTCAGTACTCAGGAGTTTACGATATGAAACGACTTACAAACTACATTCTGTCAAAACTTTCAAAATACCCCTTCAAAAAGTATCCTTCAAACACTCTGCTCGTTTGTGACGACTTCGCCGGAAAAGGTTTAGTGTCAAAGCCTGACTCACCATTAGCTAACATCATAACTAAAGTCAGACATTACCACTTAACTGTAGCAATACTTATGCAAACATGGCGTTTCCTTGCTTTAAACATAAAACGTCTCATAACTGACTTCGTTATCTTTCAAGGTTTCTCACTATGATATTGAACTCATTTGGAAACAGTCAGGTATAACATTACCTTTTGAAGAAATTTGGGAAGCATATAAGTCTCTCATCTCTCCTCGTTCATACCTTGAGATTCATATCATGACTAATACCATTAAAGTCAAAAATATTCCATGGGAACGACCAACATTGTTTTAAAGTTTAACCTTCAATTGACTGATGGTAAACAAATTCCATGCATCTCTGTCGCCATTTCTGTTAATATTTTTGCTGTCATTCATATCATCCACTTCCCCATCCGTTAGCTTTTGAGGATATGCGTTAGAATAGCTGTTCTTAAATGAAGGCTTTTCACCTTTGAGAGCATAAACTCTATAACTTTCTGCATACTTTATGTTTGAACCTCCTGAGCCATCATTGACATAAATTTTTATAGGCTTCCACCCTTTGTTCATGTTCCTGCTTCTTCCCTTAGCTCTTTTGTTCAGTAGTTCTACATCTTTATACACAGCTCCTGTCTCAGTGAATTCAACAATATTTTCATTCGTTAGCTTTACATTCAAACCCTTGTCGAGTATATTGTTCATTTCATACATATAAAAGGTTTTTATTCTATATGAAATGAGAAGCAAATCCATCTTAGCTGGTGCCGTTAATGTTCCAATTGAACCAACATCAAATGTTGACTCACGAACGACAAACAATATTGTCATAAAGAACTATAGTTCAGAGTGTTTGAAAGAAAAAGAACCAGAACTGAAATCCGTGAATTTAAACACAGCTTCAAACGCTAACGCTACATCAGATGTTAAGTTAGAGTATCCACCACTGGACCAAATTCTTTCAAGAGAAGCCAACGACAACCCTTACACAAATGTTCAAACAAATCCTTCAGATAACGTAGACCATTACCTTCTTCAGTTATACCAAACAATTTTACTCAAAGACGATAAGAAGCTTTTGACAAATCTTATAAGCAAGAACCAAATAATTCTAACAAAGGAGGACCTTGAAAATGTTTATCACGAATAACAGGAAAGCAATGTGTCATTGACTATCTCGACCCTGAAATCGAATGCTGTGGTCAAACGCCACCATTCATGAAAATAGGTAACATCCGCATCATTGAAACACCAGGAACTACAGGAGTTGAGTTTAAGTATAAATATTCGAACGAGTATACAAAACTTTCAACAGAATATAAGCTTTGTTTGAAATATGTTTTAGTAAATTAAAGCAATTTGTATAATCTATCCAAAACTTCTTCAACAGTATCGAACTCATCTTCATAATGCAAACCTAATCTTATTGACTTGGTGCAGTTTTCACTAACACAATATAGCGCTTTGCGCTCGGCGCCTTTGACGCCTTTTTCTGTTCTCTTGACTGACATAACTAACTCATTTGTTTCATCAAACAGCAACAACCAAAGTTCATGACCTAATACATAACATTCATACTTTATATTTTTAGCTCTGAGTTCTCTTGTAAGCTGTTGCATTTAATATTTTCTAAAAAAGTCAACTTCAACAGTCATTCGCACTGGTGCCTTCAGTTCTACAGGCTCTCCTTGAAAGTCAACAAGTCTGAATTGCATGTCTTTCAAATTATGAGGACTAATGCGAACCCATTTACCTAAATGAGTTGCTATGACAGGAACGTTTGGAATGAACATTGAATTGACTGCATAACAGAAGGATTTATATTCTACTGAACCTTTACTATTAACTCCTGAAATACCTGTGACATTAGCTATTTTTGACTCACGTACAAACAATTACCAAACATACGTATGGAACAGATTTCATCTCAATCGTTTTGTCAACACTTTTCAAAGGAAATGTCATATGGTATGCTCCCAGAAGAAGTTGTACTCTATGACTCATTCTTTGGTATCTTAAACTCCTTCGCATAACTGAACTTCAAAACTCCTGCAATTAAGTTTAACATTCATTAAGTTTTCTTCGTTATCCTTGTTTATTGTAGTATTTATGAGAGCATTTAACACTCCAGCTAATGTTTCCATCTTATATTCTACATTATTGTGAAATCTTATTTCGTGCTTCTTTCCATCTATTTCAAGCTCCATGAAATCTGTTTCATCTGTTATAACGAATGAAGCGATAGTATTGAAGTCAACCATTCTGAATGCAAGTGGCTCATTCTGTAGACCTAAGTTTGTTTGTAGCTTTACTGTCCCGTATTCGTTTGGGTCTGTACTTTGCAAATAGAACAACATTTTATTCTCATTAAAATATGAGTATAGCTGCATATGCGTATGAAGCTGACAGAGCTAAACGTTTATATTTTGGTCAATACTCTCTCACACTTACTGACAAATATATTGTTATCAGTGATGGAAATACCGAGAAATACATAACATGGAAGGACTATGAAAAGTTTGACCCTATTTTAACTCCATGTACAATGCCATTCATTGTAAATGGTGAAGTTGTCATGAAGAACGAACAACAGTATATAAGTCTGTATATGAAGCATTAGAATATATGTTGAATTATAATCCCGAAAGATTTGACCCAAGCACTACACCATGTGCAATGCCTTTTATTAAGGACGGTGAAATCGTAAGAGTTCCGGATTCAACGGTTTATACTGCTGTTCAAAACAGTTTACAAAACATTTTAGCGAATAATCTTTAATTCAGAAACTACAGAAATAAAATTACCATATATAACAGATGCTAAAGAAATTAAATCAAAAACGACAACATTATTTACGTCACTTAATGATTTAATGACTTATATCATTAATATTCCTGCCCCAACTACAGCATTTGATCCAAACTCGACGGTTTGCAGTGTACCTTTCATAAAGTCGCAAACGGACTCTTTGAGTCCTGAAGGTCTTTCAGACCGAAGCGACCAGGGCGAAGCCCATGACAGTTCATTAATTACTTTAAGGGATCAACAGTTAATGAATCATTAAAGGCGTCATTAATGAAAATCATTGATTTTAACTCATTCACGAATACATATAATTCATTCATTAATGTTTCATATGCTTCTAAAGAAGGTGAGCCAAAAACTATCGATAAAGCGGTGTATGAAATAAAAGCATCAACGACGAATTGAATTCGTTAACTTTTGACGGTGATAGTTTCGTTAATGACATAACATCGGGGAAAACAATTTTAACGAAAGAATATTTAAAATCTCATGTTAGTGAGTTCGTTGAAATTGAAAAAGAAGGGGGGAATTAAGTTCGATCCACTGAATTTCATTTTCAGCTTAGCGAATGCGGGTGTTAGTTTCGCTGAATGGACAACTATACAGAGTGAAATAAATGCAATATGGACGTTTTTGGGGTCAAAAGCGGGAATGGGTGAGCTTGTAAATGCTGCAAGAACATTAGGTGAAACAGGAAATTTTGTAGATGGTTTTAAAAGACTTGTTTCAAATGTTTAACAAACACAAAGAAATTATTTAGATATACCATACATAACGGACGATTTTCGAACAGGTAGCAACAAACCCTCCGGTTATGGCTGCGTGATGATGGTTAGAGATATAAAACCACGTAACGACGGGAACGAAGAACATGAACAACAGAGCCCAACGGGCTCAGAGCCACATAGTGGCGAGGATACTGGTCGGGTTATTCAAGACATTAAAAACGTGTATCCTGAAGTTATTGATTTATTTAGAGGAGTTAATGATTCAATTTCAAAACATTCTATAACCCTCGATGAAGAGAATAAATTAACAGATTATATATTCGTCATTATTGCAGAACTAATGAAGAGAATAAATGAAAAAGGAATTGGTGATATCATTAATGTCAGCGATGTAATGATGAAAAGAAATTTTGACTCATTATTTACAAAACCGAAAACAGAATATAGTCTTTATGACGTAATTACCGAATTAATGAAAAAGATTAATGATAATAAGAGTTCTGGCGGAAGAGTTGAATTAGAAGTGAATGATGTTAATGAGAAATTAGCCGAAAAAGCAGATAAAAACCACGTTCATTATATAACTTCAGACGAACAGATTATAACGGACTACCATGGATATTTAACACGAAGTGATGAAGCGAAGACAAAAAATGTTAATGAAAGAAGATATAAATACATTCGTGCTAAAGGTTATGACATAAGCTGTACTGTACAGTATGATGTAGCTAAAGCACCAGAAGCATTTGGTTATACCGGTGAAATTTATGCCTCTACTTTCAATGTTAATGGTGTATTAGTTGAACCAAGATTTATGTTAAGAGTTAAGGCAAAAATAACGTTTGAAGATGCTATTAAAAGTAAAGCTGACAAAGATGAACTTGACGCAACGAACAAAGTTTTGAAATCTCATAAACACAACATCTCCGATATAAATGAACTTCAAGCTACATTAGACAGTAAAGCTGACAAGAACCATACACATAAATCCTTCACTACTGTTAGAGCAGATGACATAATATTGAACTTTGACCTTGGTTCAAGTGCACCATTAGAGAATCCAAGTACAAGCGTAAAAGATACACTAAACTCCTTAAATAGTAAATGTATGAACATTGAAGGTCATGTCAGAAACTTTGAAACACATGAACTACCAGCAATGTTAGATAAGAAAGCAGATAAGAACCATACACATGATTTCTTCACAACTGTTGGTATAGAAAGTATTGAAGGAACGGTTGAAGGAACTGGTGGGGAGGGCGGAGCCCCGCCGCACGCGGCTGCATTATATTGGAAACCTCCTAACTTTCCACAAGGTTTAACATCGGAGGAAAACATAACGACGATGAAATACATTAGATGTAGAAATGTTTATGTCATGGAGGATGAAAATAATGTTAAATTCACTGCTCAAGATTTATATGATAAGAAAGCTGACAAGAACCATACACATAAATCCTTCACTACTGTTAGAGCAGACGACATAATATTGAACTTTGACCTTGGTTCAAGTGCACCATTAGAAAATCCAAGTACAAGCGTAAAAGATACTCTTAACAGTTTAGATAAGAGTTGCAGGAACATTGAAAGTCATGCCAGAAACTTTGAAGCACATGAACTACCAACAATGTTAGATAAGAAAGCAGACAAAACTTATGTGGATGCAGAACTAACAAAGAAATTTTCGAAACCAGATACAATGACATTTACAACAGAAATTATAAATGGTGAACCAGCAACTCCATTTGAATTTGTTAGAGGTCTTCAACCAGATACTTTTGAATTTTTCTTGGATAATTCTATTGAACTAACATTACATTATAAAAGTGGAACAAATGCAACATTTCATCCGGGAGATACATTCCAAATGGTATTTAATGACATAAGTTCTTTAGAATATGTTTATAGAGTTATGAGCATATATGATTTATATATCCTATAGGAGCTGTTTATACGTCTATGAATCCAATAAATCCAAACACTTTATTTGGTGGTAGATGGTATGAAATAGTTGACAGTTTTCCATTCTACACTAATACTCAGTCAATGAAGATGGGAGGTTCAAAGAAAATAGGTATTGAAAAACCTTCCTTCACATATGCATAGGTTCAGTGGAAGAACATCTGTGGAAGGAAACCATTCACATTCAATAACAAAAAGAGGTTATACAAATCTTGCAGCGGGTTCGGATAGACAGGGAATGCATAGATATGATATCACAACTGACCCCAAAGATGTTAGCACAGGTATTTTCTGTGGAACTGCAGGAAATCATACACATGTTGTAGCTGGTATTACAGACCCAGCAGGTAATGGAAAAGATTATATGCCTCCTTATATAACAATGCACGCTTGGATACGAGTTGGTTAAAATCTTTAACTTTACATAAATGAGCTTGAAAGAAGTATTCGAACAACATCCATGGAGGTCATTTAAGAAATTCAATGAAGCTGCAAAGAGTTGGGGATTTACTAACAGAGCTGAAGTGAAAAGGTTCTTTGACAAAAATGTTGTACATCAAACAAAAATAAACCCTTACGACTACTTTTTACCAATTTACTCCAACACTCCTGACGCATACCAATTTGACACTCTCATTCAAAGCAGAAAAGGAGGACATAAACCATTCCTCATCTTCATAAATGTTAACACTCGTAAAGCATATGCATATCCAATGAAAAATAAAGGAACTCGTGAAGTGTTAAGAGTTTTACAAAAGTTTGTAGCAGAACATAACCCAAGTACTTTAACATCAGACCAAGACAGTGCATACCTCAGCAATGAAATCACAGAATTTCTCATTAAGCATAACATAACTCACTACACTACTGAAGACCATAACCATAACATACTCGGCATCATAAACCGCTTCATAAGAACGCTCAGAGATTTAAATCAAGAGCGAGACTTTACCGAAGAAACAATGAAACATTTTCTCGAAGTATATAATTCCTCAACACATTCTAAAACAGGACATACACCAAATTCAATGACACAACAACAGAAGAAAAGTATATACAAAAGAAACGAAGCCAAACACAAAATATCAGAAATTCAACACAATTTACCCTCATTCCTGGTACAAAAGTTCGTGTAGTTCTTGACGACAAACCGTTGACAAAGAAACGTTTAAGGTTAAGTAGAAACTATTATATCGTAGACTCTACGCAAGGTAATGGATATCTTATAAAAGCTGCTGACGACTCCATAGCATTTTACCCTCGACATAAGTTAGTTGAAAGTAGTAATGGCAAACTTGCTGAAACCATTGACGAAGCAAAGCGAGGAGTGGTTATTGAAATACTTGGCTACAACACAAACGATGACACTTATAAAGTAAGATATGAAGGAGGTGTTGAAGATGTTATACCATCTAAGAACTTGAGAGAGTCAAAGCCAACACATCTGGGACCATTAGAGCGGGAGTACTGGAAAGACAAAAATAAGCCAGAAAGAATAAGAAAATTCTTCTAAACTTTTTCATTAGATGTAAATCAGACATGAATGAGAACAGTCATGGAATTATTAATGTTTTCATAAATTTACACCAAAAATAATGTTTATGTTAGCATGTTAGATCTAACACGTTTTCTAACCTCTTTTCTAACATGGTCTAAAACTCTCGAAAATCATGAATTTTCAAGACTTCATCGAACTTAAATGTTTTGTCAAGACTTCATTGTAAATGACCAAAAATAATGTTTATGTTAGCATGTTAGATCTAACACGTTTTCTAACCTCTTTTCTAACATGGTCTAAAACTCTCGAAAATCATGAATTTTTGACATTTCCTTATGAAAGAAAAATAACGCTAATTTTTTTCTAAGAAAAATTTTTATCTTGTATGTAAAGATATGATTTCAACAATCGGCACAACAACAATTCAAACTACAGCACCAAACTCGTTAGTCATGAATCCAACATCTATGTTAGTAGAGATGAAAAGCTTCATTCCTTCTTCATATACTTTCGAAACAAAAATCCAGAAGATAAAGCAAGAACTTTTAACAAGTAATTTAGACTGTAGTGCGAAAGATGAAACAAATGAACAGTATCTTTATGAAATGCAGGACATTATTGACCATTTACCCAAATTGCCTGAAATCCAACAACAAAAACTAACTATTCCTGAATTCGACGAAATTGAAGTCAAAACAACTGACTCAGTAGAAATAAAGAAGTTCATACGTAAAGTAAATTATGAATTCCTTGGTTTTCATTGCAACCATAAAGTTATGGACAAAGATTGCGACATGGTTTATAAGAATGTTTCTGACATATATAAATCTGAAGAATTTAAGACCTACGATAACTTTGTTTCGTTAGTTGCTGAATGTGTTTGGGAAATAAGAGATAAAGATAGAAGAGGCAAAGTATGGAACGAACAACTAAGACCCGCTATGTTTGAGATGAAGAGAGCAATTGACGCCTTAGTTGTTTTAGCAGGTCAAATTTCAATGTATAACGCAAAAATGAACCCGCAATGTTCAAAATGTAAGGCAGCAATTAGGAAATATAACTACTCCGTCAAAGAGATAGAAAGAATGAGAAACGACTATGCAGATTTAAAGAAAGAAGTAGAAAAGCCAGCAGAAGATAAAATGGACATGTTAGCATTTCTGAACAAAAATTATCCAACTGCTGACGATTTCCTTCTATCTGACGTCAAGAAGAAATATAAAGAAACCTTCGGCATTGTTAAAACATTCGATGTACTAAAAGAAGAAATAGAAGCTACAAAACTGTTTAAAGTCATGAACCATCGCAACATATACCATGTAAAACGCTTGTAAATAGTTATGTTAGAAAAGAGGTTAGAAAACGTGTTAGATCTAACATGCTAACATAAACATTATTTTTGGTCATTTACAATGAAGTCTTGACAAAACATTTAAGTTCGATGAAGTCTTGAAAATTCATGAGTTTTGTATGTTTTAGACCATGTTAGAAAACGTGTTAGAAAACATGTTAGATCTAACATTCTAACATAAAATATATTTTTGGTCATTTACGCTCATTACGATGAAGAAGTCTTGACAAAACATGGAATCTCTTTCCTCGGAAAACCGAGAGAAGCAATCATATGACAAAGTCTTGACAAAACATTTAAGTTCGATGAAGTCTTGAAAATTCATGAGTTTTGTATGTTTTAGACCATGTTAGAAAACGTGTTAGAAAACGTGTTAGATCTAACATGCTAACATAAAATATATTTTTGTCTGATTTACGCTCATTACGATGAAGAAGTCTTGACAAAACATTTACGAAGAAGTCTTGACAAAACATTTACGAAGAAGTCTTGACAAAACATTTACGATGAAATCATGAAAATTCATGAGGTGAGAAAACATGTACGATGAAATCATGAAAATTCATGAGGTGAGAAAACAGGTGAAAAAACAGGTGAGATCTAACATGCTAACATAAACATTATTTTTACTGAATTCCGTATGAAAATCATGAATTTCCTTAAGATAGAAAAAATAAAATTAGTTTTATTTTTATTTATTTTTTTATTTTGTATGTAAGGACAGATATGTCAACAACAGAGAACACAACAACTGCTATCGTTCATGAAGCCATAAATGAAGAATACGAGTGGGTTCAGTTTAACAAACAACTCCGTCTCATTCGTTCGGTCAAAGACGATATGTACCAAATGCAAAGTATTTTGACAGCATGTTTTGCTCCAGACACTAAACACGCAGACGACTGGTTCAAAAACCAAAGCACACAAGAACTTTTGAGTGAAATTTCTCTAGACCGACTTTTTTCGGTCATGCATAAAACACATGAAAATCGTAAAAATTTGCCAATAAATTTAAGAGGTTATTATGTTCATAGACTTTTAGTAAATGCAGTTGCAATGTGGGCTTCTCCTCGTTATGCATGGCATGTTTACAGACTTCTTGACGAAATTCATAGACAAGAACGTGGAGAGATGGAAAAGAAACTTCAAGCAAAAGATGAAGTCATTGAATCCAAAGACAAAAGCATACAGAAAAGAATACCACGTTCAGTACCAAAAGGAAAGGAAAAGAGTTATAAGTATATGATATATACTGAAGAGTTGGAGAAAGAAGAAGATAAAGATATGGTTATGTTGCATTTAGTCAGAAGAAACAACAAAAGCTTTTATGACCTTGCTAAGATTTACAAATCTGACAGAAACTGGTTCTATCGTGAAAACTTACCGATTTCAATGACACCGAATGAGCAAATAAAGGAAATTGTCAAAAATACTCTTCCTCAACACACTATGACATCAAAGGTTGCACAATACTTACATTCAAAGAAGACTTAACATTACTGAAGGAAAAAAAAACAGAATATTTCGATAACTTCAAAGAGGAAGAATAAAAAAAATCTAAGCTAATTTTATTTTTTTATAAAATTTTATCTCATATGAAAGAACATGAATTTAGAATATTCGGAACTCATGACAGAAGAAGAGAACGAACAACATGTAAAAGATTATGCAAAATTTCTGAAGACATACAAAGCATTTAAACAATATCTAAATGCTTCTAAAGATTATGCAAAATTTCTGAAGGTATATAAAGCTTATGAAAAAGCGTATGAAAAGTTTATACATTGGGGAATTGTTGTAAAATATCGATATGAAGACTAACCAAAAATATATTTTTGCTTAAATGACGTCAGGGTCAATTTCTTCAACCATTTCACTTCCTTCGTCAATGTCAATAGAAGCTTCTTCAACCTTTGGTAAGAACTTTTGTATAACATCTTTGTTCGTTATTGTTTTCAAGAGATGAAGAATAATATTTCACATTTGTTTCACCCTTCTTATATTCTTTCTGTTCGGAAAGATTCATAGCAATACTGAAGAATCAATGTTGGAGTTCTTTATAATAGTATAATGAGTATCTTTGACATTCACGAAGAAACCCTTTTGTTTCAAAACTACTGCTAACTCTTGTGAAGTATAACGTTTGCGGTCAATGACAATAGCTAATGGTCTGACATACTGACCAAACTTAGATTCTTTCACAAACTTCTTGTTAAAGATAACATTGACGTTTGAAGCATTATTGAACTCATTCTTGATGACAGTAGCGAGAGCATTGTATGAAAAGAACTTGCAATCTTGCATGTGTTTCATTAAAATAAAAATATTAAATTATTTTGAAAAATAACTTAAAAAAATCTAATCTAATTTTTTCAAAAAATATTTTTTTATTTCCTACTAAAGATGTATCGGAAGTTGTCTAAGTTAGAACACTCGGAAATAAAACAACTTCTTACAGAAGCTAATATAGATGTTGCAAAGCATTACACAACAAACAAAAAGGCACTCGCTGACATCCTCAATGACTATAATGGTGAAATAACTTATGATAGAATTCATGAGTTCATAAAGCCGCAACGCGGCGAGGACGAAGTCCATGCAAGAGCATTTCCTTTAAATGACGTTGCTATTGACTTATATCATAGACGTTCAATACCTCATGAAGTAAGAAGAGAAATGTTTGACATAACAAATGCAAACGTTGGTGAAACAAGAAGAAGAGACGACACACTGAAACAACAGAGAAGAGAGATGTTTAAGAGCGCTATAGAACAAGTTCGCAAAGCTAATGATGTCATTCGTTCCATTGACGACAAACCAAAAGAAGGTGAGAGATGGTTAAAGAAAGATGAAGAAAATAGGAAGAGGAATGTGAAGTCAGGCAATAGACTCATTGACTTTAACATCGAAGCTTTAGATGAACCAAACAGAGACTACTTACACAAACATTTCGGTAAGGTTTTCATGAGACTCTTAGAGAAAATTAAAATAAACTCCCAACAGAGATGGATGGTATGTTATAAACTTGGTGGAAAGTATGAATGTTCTACGTTAAACCTCAATAATATTGGAACATTACTACATCAGCTCTTGAAGGAGAACTTTATATCAGAGATAGAAGCAAATGCTGCAGGTATTGTTGAAATGCACTATGACTTCTTCTTGACAAACATAAAGAATCTTACTGAAATAAAGATGTATGATTTAACAGAATATGAAGGCTTAACGATGTCAGATGTAAAGAAAGGCAAACCAAAAAAGAGACCATATAGAGATGAAAGCACACTGACAAATGACCAGAAAGCCATTTTGGAAGCTCTTAAGCAAACAGGAAACCCAGCACTTATAGAAAGCTTTTGGAAAGATAATGGTGAAAAGAAGTTTTATAAGAAGAGAAGCGGTCAGTTCTGGAAGTATCTTTGCACATTACCTATAAATCTTGAACGCTACCAAATCTTCAATGAACTGAACAAAAAACTGCAACACTTATGACAGAAGATAACTGCTTCGTTTATGCTTGCATTCAGGCTGGAGTAAATGAAGAAACTATTGACCACATGAGAGAAGTCATTCGTGTTAGAGACTTTCCTCAAAGTAAAGTACAAGAAATTTCTGACGCAACAGGTATAGCATTTAATGTTACCATTGGTTACTTCAATGACTCAAGACATAATGAAATAAAGAGATACATACCAAAAGAATGTGAAACTGTTCGAACTATTGACCTACTTCTTGTTGAAGACCACTACATGCTAAATGAAAGACTTCCAATGACAACATATTTCATTCGAAACTATAAAGAAATCTTGAAGGAGTGTGGTGGAATGAACATTGAAAAACAGATGAAAATATATACAAAGAGAGAAGATAAATATGTAGTTCGTTATGATAGAACAACACCGCTATGGGATGTTATGAAAACATTGTGGGAGTGCAAATATTTTGAACCTATTTCTTATGGAGAACTTTTCACATATACGACTGACTTATATAAACAGAACCTTGCACCATTTAAAGATTTGACATATGCTCCAAAGTATTGTGTACAACTGAAGAAGAAAGCAGAGTCAAAAGAAGTAAATAAAGCTAAATGTAAATTCATTCCTGAGCACGTTTTCTTTGCTGACTTTGAGTGTAGTACGGATGGCTTTCATAAAGCTTTTAACATCTGTTATGACAGTGAAGATGGTTCAGTTAGTGAAAGCATTTGGGGTCAAAACTGTGCAACAGAATTTTTGGAAAGACTTCCTGACAAGAGTTTAATATATTTCCATAACCTCAGTTATGACATAAACTTCATCTTAAGACACATGACAGAAGTGAAAGGAACTCCCATCATTAAAGGTTCACGAACAATGCAAATAACTGGTTTATATAAAGGACGGGCAATTATTATAAAAGACTCTTACAGTGTTATAAATAAGAAGCTTAAACTATTTCCTGCTATGTTTAACTTACAAACAGGACCGAAAGAAGTATTTCCATATAACTACTACAGCAGTGTTTTGTTAGCAAATGACAACAGAACTGGTGTCATTTCTGAAGCATGTAAGTTTATCCATGATGCAGATACATTCATGAAGAACATAGATTCCATCAAAGGTTGCAGAATAGATGAAAACCACTTCGACTTAGAAAAATATAGCACGTTTTACTGCAAACAAGATGTAAGAATTTTAAGAGAAGGTTTTGTAAAGTTCCGCAATGACTTATTGAAAGAGTTTGATTTAAACGTTTATGACTACGTTAGTATTTGTTCTATTGCTAACAAATTGTTTGAGAACAGAGTATACTTCCCGAATGGAAATCTTTATGACCTCTCAAATAAACCAAGAGAATTTATTTCGAGATGCATTCAAGGTGGAAGATGTATGTTGTCAGATAACATGAAACAAAAGAGCAAAAAGAAACTCATTGCTGACTTCGACACTGTTTCATTATATCCTTCAGCTATAGCAAGACTTTATACTTTAGAAGGTATTCCAAAAGTATTGAAGGAAGAAATGTTAAGCACAGAGTATCTCATGAGACATTTATTCGATGACGACCAAAAGGAACCCATTGGTGAAAAGTTTATGTCTGGCTTCTTTGTTCTCATTAAGATAACAGAGATTGGTATACCCAGACACTTTCATTTAATAGTTTGCGACCTGAACTAAATCCAGAACTTAACGTTCCAAGAAGTTCAAACACTTGCTGTCTCATGTATGTTGACCATATAACATTACAAGACCTCATAAAATATCAAGGTGTCAAATGTGAAGTGTTGCAAGGATACTATTACGATGGAAACAGAGATATGAGAATAAGAGATGAAGTAAAGAAGTTGTTTGAGTTAAGGTTAAAGTATAAGAAAGAAGAAAACCCCTTACAAGAAATTATAAAACTCATTCTGAACAGCATTTATGGCAAAACTATTCTATCTCCTATTGAGTCAAAAATAACCATAGTAGATGACAAAGATGCTATAAGATATGCTATAAGAAATTACAACCATATAGTGAAGTTCGAAGGTTTGGATGGTTCAGATAAAACTATTTTCAAGCTAACGAAAAGCATTTGCAGACACTTTAACTTCTGTCCACTTGGTGTTAATATTCTGTCTATGTCAAAACGTATTATGAATGAAGTATTCTGTACTGCAGAGGACATGGGACTTCAAATCTTTTACCAGGATACCGACAGTATGCACTTATATAATGAAGACATCCCAAAGCTTGCAGCAGAGTTTAAGAAGAGATATGGTCGCGAACTTATAGGAAAGAACCTTGGTCAATTTCATAGCGACTTTGCAGAAATAACACCTGGAAAACAAAGTTTAGCTTATAAAAGTATTTTCTGTGGAAAGAAGACCTACATAGACTTACTCACTAACGATTTAAATGAAGTTGCATTTCACTGCAGAATGAAAGGCGTGAAGCAAGATGTTATTGCTTTAACCGCTAATGAAATGTTTCCTGAAGCTATACAATGCTATTACAATGAAGATAAGAACATTCACATACCTGTTGGAACATATGACAAAGACTCTGAGTTCAGTTTAATGAAACTTTACAAAGCACTTCATGATGGTCAAGAGATTGCATTCGACTTATGTAAGTCATGTCAACCTTGCTTTGCTGAAAAGTTCAACTTTTCAATAACGACTAAAACAAGCTTTATTCGTAAGTTGAAGTTCTGAGGTCATTTATTTTTGTCAGCAATGAGGTCATTCGTGATAAAAATAAAGCTAGCGTAGATTTTACAATACTGCGATGGTAGAGTTTAAGAGTTGTGCTTCAATGTAGAGACAGTCCTTCCCATCTGGAGGCAAGAACACTGGGCAGTTATGGTCATGAGTGGAGAACATGTCTATCCAAAACTCACGATTGAAGCCAGTTAATTTATAGTATTTAGGGTTAGGAAGTGGTGAAGTTCTTGTATGACCAATGAACTCATTTTCAACGCCTTTGGCTATATTAGAGTAAAGTATTGCTTGCTTTCTATCCCAAATGCCAGGTGTTACAATCTTTGAAAATTCATTTTTCCTCGGAAGCATTGCATCATAATTGAAAACATTCTTAAAATCATCACTTGGTTCGGAGATTTGAAATCTTATACGTAATGGATTTTCTTTCTTTTTAGCGACTTCATTGAATGGTGAGAATACAATGAATTGACAGTCATGAGTTCCATCTTCATTTTCATTAAATTCATAATGAAAGTCTATAAGTTGTGGCTGACTACCTTCTTCTTTCAGTTGTGCAAGAAACTCACGTAAAGGCTGTAAAGTTTGTACTTCAATGTTGAACTTTTTCTCGAACATCTCATTAAATGAAATCATACATTGTTGCAATGTTGTATCGTCTTTAAAGTATTTGTATATGTGAATGTTTTGGGCGCTTAAAGACTGTTCGTCATTTTCTATCTCGACTTGAAGTATAAAGTCAACCTTTCTGAAAGCACGTGTTATATACATAGATGTTATGCCAATGTACTTCTCTTCATTTATGTTCACAATCCAGTCTGTTGGAAACTTAAACGTTACTCTGTTCCCCTTTATTTTGACGTCAGGGTTTTCACTACTGAACGCAACAGTTAAAGGTATTTGTCTATACATTTAATTCGGATAAAAATAAACCATTTACTCTTTCTTTGCTTCAGCTTCTTTAGCTTTTGCTTCTTCTCTAGCTTTTTTCGCCAGCAAACGTGGGTTCTTCTGTCTTCCAGCAGCTAATGCAGCTAGTTGTTTTTCACTAAGTTTTCTCTTTGGTCTCTCTGGCTTTTGTTCTTGTTTTTGTTCCTTCAGTTCGGATAAAATTTGCTCGCGAATTTCTTTCTTCAATGCTTCAACATCTATGACACCTTGGGTCTTGTCCGTAGGGCTTGTCTGAGTCATTTGACTGCAGATAAAAAACTAAATTAAAACTTTAACCGATGTAAAATGAGCTTGTCAAAATCAGAGCGAGAGTCTATTATATTAAATGACGCAAGAGGAATACAACATCCTTTCTATTACGTAAGTCAGAGTAAAGATGGTAAAATATACGTAAGAAAAAGAAAGGTACCATTAGCGAATGCAGAGAGCGACAACATTAAGGTGCATGGCAAGGGTGAAGTCCACGAAGCCCATATAAAACCTTCTGTTCAAACTGAAAAGTCAATAGAACCAGAAGAAAAGAAGCCAGATGTACTTTCAATAACGAACCAAGAGCTTATTGCAAAGTTCGTGAATTTCATTGAAAAACAAACCGAGTCAAAGAACCCTGACCCGCCAGTGAAAGAAGTTGAGACAAAAGAGAATGTACAGTTCATTGAAAATGTCAAGAAACAACTTCCACCACGAATTCCAAGAAGAAGAGTGAGAATAATGAAGTAAATAGATATTTTTATCTGAAGTAAATACATGCAGAACGAACAGCTAAACGAATTTACTCCAGCAGAGCATATTCATCAGATTCGCTCATATTTCGATATCATAGACAATGCAGTTCAAATTGGTGACACTAATAGAAAATATTCTGACGCAAAGATTCCATCACAACCTGGAACTGCTAAAGATAACACATGGGTAACATTCAATCTCTCACCTCCTGGTGAAAATATGTTGGACCTTTACAATACATTCATTACGTATAAAATGGAAGGTCAATTTATTGCAGATAAAGAAATTGGTTCAGGTTCCAATAAAACAAACCCACCAGGATTTTGGATTGGTTTCGATGACGCTTTCTATGCAGTTGCTGGATATCAAATCCTTGCAAATGGTCGTATCGTATATTCTCAAGACAACGCAAGAGAAGAAGCATATATAACTTCAAACTCACAAACTACCGAACAAATAAAGAAAGTAGATGTTTTCTCAAAGACTCGACATGAAGATGTATGGAGTCATTCGGGAACATGCAGAACAGGACAAATTGTTAGTGGTCCAATTACAGCAGGAAAATCATTTGATTTTAAGCTTCGTTTAAGAATTCCTGTTAGAAGATTCCTTCCATTAGAAGCTATTCGATTTATTCCAGCTTTTGCAGGAAACATTCAGCTTAAAGTAAAGTTCAGTAGCGACGCCTTACAATGCACATCTATATCTGTAAATGATATCATTGCTTTCAATCCAACTCTTAAAGTTGCATTTGCTTCAGATTCAAATCCACCGACAAATAAATTTGTTCCATGGAATGAACCATTCACTATGATAACGAAGGCAATAGAAGCTAGTGGAACAGTTACTATTACAACTGTAACCCAGCAACTATTTCGAACAAAGATGGATTTTAATGAATGTTTCATTCATCCAAAGTCATTCTCTTTAGACCCTAACATTTATACAGAACTTGTAGAACATTATACAAACGAGGCTTTATGTTTTCCTGTTAAAGTTATGGATTGGATTCCTATGGACGGTTCATTCTCAAAGAATACAGATAGTTCAAGTGCAACATTTACAGCAGCTTATACGCCTATTAATGTTAAAAGTATTTGGGCACTATTTAGAAAGAAAGACAACTATTATGTTAATTTTGAGAACCCTAAGTTTAAATATCTTCAGCTTTCCATGGGAGCTTATGGAAATATGCCTGCAGAACCTGAAAAATCATATGGACCTGTATTTTATGAAATGGTTGCGAACGCTTGCAATACAAACAATGATATGATAGGATTTAATGAAGATGTTATGAGGTCATTGGTGGATGATGGTAGTGTGGAACATAAATGGGATAGCTATGACAACACACATTTCTTATGTGGTTTTCCAACAGAAGTGGACTTTTGCTTCCAGCAAGGTCAAACATCTACTGCTCCAATAACATACAAATTGTCTGTTAAAGGACCTATTGAACTAGCAACTGAAAATGTACCAAAGCCACTTATTGGATTTATGAGGGATTGTTGCTTTGCAATACAAGTAAGACAGTCAGGCATACCAATAATAAGACTTGA